GCTCATCCATGCATTCCTGTTCGCACGATACACAACTGGTAAACTGTCCATTCTGAGTCCCTTAAAGCGGCGAGGCTTGGCACATTTTCCTATAACCAGCAACTTCCTCTTGTCTGTTCCGGACATGTTTGAGCAGCACAAGACAGTTACGCGATCCATTGCTTTTGTGCAGCCAGAGAAAGTAGCATGTTTGTAACTTAAGGAGCCGTCCGGTGTAGCCCTATAGTACAACCCGGTTTCATCAGCATTATAGATGTCATCTGCTGGAAATTTTTCAAGAAGCTCTGGTAGTTTTGTTAAGTTCCATTCCTCAGCTCCAGCGCTATTTCCCGACATATGAACTGTGGGTTTAGTCCAGACATCCAGGCACAGAACTTGATTTTAACACCTCTGTTACCTGCCACCTTCTGTCGTCTGGTCCGATTAAGCGGAATTCCGGTCCTAATAAGCGGCTAAAATTAGGCTAGCGTAATAGGATTCGTTTCGGTTCTTCAGAATTTGGCCCGAATAAGCGGCTGGTCCTATTAACCGGTGGTCCCATTAACCGGAATCGACTGTATATATATATATATATATATATATATATATATATATATATATATATATATATATATATATATATATATATATATATAGGGACTCTTCAATAGCACACATGCTACCAAATACGAACCCGGCCAGAGCCATGGGAGGCGGGGCCAAATCATAGCATGATGCGTCGGGTGCGCCTTGCCGACATGTCCCAGTATATATATATATATATATATATATATATATATATATATATATATATATATATATATTTCGTATTTGGTAGCATGTGTGCTATTGAAGAGTCCCAATGGAACGAAACAGCCGCCCAGCGCTTTGTGAATGTGTGGTGGCTTTGACCACCTAGATCTGGCCTTAACAGCTTACATACCACATCAAATGCTTGCAAAGGAAGTCGTAAGTATGGGAGCCCGCCCAACCCTCCGCACGTTCACTACATGCAGCATGACAGCGGTGCATACTGCAGCTTGTAATCAATCATGATGGTTCGCTAGCGTTCCTAGTTCCCAAGATCGTAAGATTAGGGTCATAAGTTGGGATGCGGCAGAATCCGGCGGACATCGATAAGATGGACCGCCCGCACAGTGCTTTTCGGATACGTGTCTACTTGAGTCTGGTTATGATATACGCTGATAAATTCATATCGGCAGAAGGATAATAGCGTACGCAATTTGACAAACAACTTTGAGATGAGAGGTTTTCGGGGAAATTGTCTTCGATGACCAATCGTGCAACTGTCAAGACGGGAAATATGATGATAGTCACTAGCTTAGGGGAACGTAACAAACGCGTGCTCGTTGAACAGGAAACCGAGTAAGCAGCGCCGATGTGAGCTGACTATTATTGCACTGGCAGAGTGGATAAGGCAGAGCTGATTCGGCAAGCAGGTTCGGAGCGCAACGCCATTACAGAGAAGTGTACGGATGGGTCAGGACAATAACGAGTGAGCAGCACACACGCGCCGACAAAGCCAAGCTGACGAGACGGGGTGGGGTGGTAATTGGTCGGCTGAATGAACGGAGCCGACGTGGGAAAATGGACATAAAGCGAATAGGATATCGAGACCAGCAGTTGACTAGAATTGCATAGGCAGGACAGACAACGCAGAATTGGCACGGCCTAGCGTTGGCCAAGTTCCATGTGGCACTAGACAGGGCACGTGTGGGTCGGACAGGGCGGGGCGCAGGCAGGCCAGTAAGCGTAGGTGGACGACATGGAGCATGGCAGTGAGAAACAGATGTCCGGTTCAGAAATCAACGATTTTTGACCACCATCAATAAATCCATGTTACTCTCGAAATGAGGAAGGATGGTATCTACTATGAGAATCAGTAAGGTATTAGCTACAGAACGAGGAAATATACTAATCATAAGCACTTCTTAGTATATACGACGATTGTACTTATAACGTGGCCTAGGCATAAGCATCGGCAACCTGGTACATTTGATAAACCATTAACTGGTATCAGGAGTCCAATGGGAACTGCAAAAGAATACAGTTCACAAGAGATTGTTGAACTTGGATAACGAAAATACAGAACCAACAAACGACAAAATAAGACTGGTGGATTTCAACGAATGCAGGGTAATAAACTAGACCAATTGTAAACTATGAAGTTCCGTTATTAGGAAATGCCGAAACGTGCTGAGAAGAGCAACTCCAAAGGAATCGATTGGCGGACATCTAAAGGTTAAAAAACCGGTCTCTCAAGGTTGGCTTCTAAAATATCACTGACTGATGGGAGAAGATTTTTCACTTTCGTTCTGTATAGGGAACAAATAACAAGCTCGCATGCTAGAATCGCACATAACTCGTCAATTAGAAATGTTCATTAGTATCGGGTGATCGGCAGCCCTACCTATAATGATTCAAACCTTTTGACCAAGCACACGATGGCTATTTGGACTTTCAAAAGTGCACAAGAGCGGGGTGTCATTCAGCTCGCCGGCTGATAAATGTGCTCTCTAAACCTCCAAGATTCTTTTGAGCTTGCCGAAGATCTTGATGAAATTAATCTGCTCGATAAAATGATGTGTTCTTTAAATGCGGAGCCCTTATTTACTAACGGCTCGCTGCACCACACAGTTGACTACATTTTCAAACTGGCGAAAAGTTCCAGATGCTTTTTGCCGACACCGGTTGAGTTATTAGGGGAATCATTGCTCCAGTGCATACCATATCATCATATTGGTGTGGTAGCCATAGATAGCCCTTTGGGTCCAATACTGCAGGATTTCCTCATGTTGATGGTAGAGCAAGGCATATCCGAAGAATCAACACAATTGCTATACTACAAATGCTATTTGTATGATATTTTGGCATTCTTTTCATCAGACACAGATTACACAGCTGGTAAGGCCTTTAAATGCTTTCTATGCCAAGTTAAGACTCTCTTGCTATGATGAACCACAAAACTCCCTTCCTTACTTAGATTTTTGTATCAGCCAAAGGGAGAACGGACAGGGTAAAAGGTCTGTCTACTGAGACCAGCGTGGTCCTGCCAGAACCTGCATTGTACGTGTCGCGCCAATGAGGCACAAGTGAACGTTAGTAAAGACCTTAGTTAGTCGTGCCAAAAATAGGTTTAATTGATTGCCTAGTTGATAAACTAGAGTGGATTACTAGTACGTTAATTGTAAATGGCTACCATCAAGATTTCATCGAGCGGTACAGTGAAGTCGACGAAAGGAGATATCCGCTGCCTACCGAATATAAGAAATAGATATTCTTAGAGTAGTCTTTTAATGGTGGTAATGCTGTATTGAGGGCTACAAGGCGCCTCTCTAGCACACAGAACCCTTTCTATGCAGTCAAAGTTACCATCACCGACCGAACATATAAGCTGTCGCTGCCTCCGACGAAAGGAAAGTAGCCTATCGAAGCAAACTCCCAATACGTATACCAATTCGTATGCAACGAATAAAGGAGTGCGTACTGTGTTCAATGCCAGACGGCACAGTAAGCAGGCCCACTCTGACCATCGGCATCGTCAATCGACAGACTCCGGTTGACATGGGGTCATTAGAATGAGAACAACAAGGCGTACAAGATTGCGCTGTACCAAACCAATCCACGGCTCATCTGGTTTACCGACTGCTGCGATAAGCCAGATTAAACCGGTGCGTTGCGCTCGAAAGCAACTATCGGACAGTCTTAGGCCGTCCTGGATGTAGGCCCAATACCAATGCCTTTCCACTCGCATGTTTCCACCTTAAAACGATTATACGTAATTTCCAGTTGCTGTTACAAGCAATGACGATACGATACGAAATGCGTGCATCTGTTGAACTTCGTCTTCTCACTGTAGTTTCCAAATTTCCGATGGTATCGCAGTATCCGGTACCAATATGCCTTGCCGCTTCGCAAGTACACGGGTTGTGAAATCAAATCTTCAAGTTTGGGGACAGATAAAATCAGATTATTTTAGGGATCACAGGAAACTATGTGGCTAAGTATAATAAGATATGAGATGATCACAATGGATGTAAGCTGGTTTGTGCCGGTTGAACTAAGGTTGCGCCAACTGTCAAAAAACACAGGAAAGCACCGAGGGCGATTATGACTCAGCAATGCACATGGTGATGGGAAGATTGGAAAAATTAAGGTATTCCGTAAAAGCGGTGACATTGAGGAACCTAAACACAACAACTAAAGCCAACACATTGTGACTTTTGCTAACCTTATAGGTAACAACCTCAGCACGCTAGAGTGATTCGGGCGGTTTGTGAGAGAGGAGTACATCAGAACCGCGGTGAAGAAGTAAGGAATGTGAAACGCAGCAACAAACTAAGTACATGCGTTCGAGTAATTGCAGCCTGACGGATGAATATGACGAGGCCAAGTCGGAATAAGTGGAAAATTAGGAATGCGAGGCTAGCAACAGACTGATTACAAGGGTATCAAGGTTGCGCTGAGGGAGACGAATCAGAAAGTATGAACTGGTGCAGTATGAACCAGTGCAATGAGCTCCATGCTCTTTAGGTATCAAGCTGATTCAAGACCCGTTCAGACTCATCGTGCCAAATTGCAACATTGGTTGTCCGTAAACACAACACAGAATGAGGTTGGCGGTAGAAAGAGTAAAGAGGAACATGACAAAATGCTAAAGGTACCATTGGCTAAGAACAAGCTTTGAATAAAAGAACGCTAGTAAAAATGTAGCTAACATTTCTCGTTTTCATATCTTAGTGATCGAGACGAAAGTGGTCATATGTGCAGGCTGTTGGTGTCTTCAAGGCAGGTTTCCCAACCCGAGTAGTAGCGGCATTACGGCAGTACACTAAACCCAATGCTGTCCCATCAAAACCAAATTTCGCTAACAATTTTCCGGAAATAGTGCAGAATAACAACTCAAGTGCTCTTTTGCCAGTATGCATCAGGTGGTTTAACCATCCAATCAGTCGTGATAGCGTTCGATTAAAAATACGGACAACACAGCGAATGCGTACCAAAATCCGAGAAGTTTGCCACTCAAGTGCACTGAAGTGAGGGGAGTGTTGGGACCGAACTCCGCTTGCACCGCGCGTTTGACATCGACCAATAAGGGATGACCGGGCTTCATTGCAATCCACGGATGGTTGCACACAGCCTGTAGGTAGCGCAAAGCTTGAAATCCGAAACCCGTGCGTTCTGTGATCCGATCCGGAGCTCCATCGCGTTTGGTTCGGATGGCCAACAAAAGTTGCTGACCTTCGGATGACTTAGTGTACGCTTCATACAGCTGTGCCTGAGTACAAGTGGGAGATAAAGTGTAGGATATGAGGGTGATCGCCATCAGGATGCCAAGAAACCGCCAAGATTGATAGAGAATAAAATACTTATTGACTGGTCAAGCAAGCCAGACTAGAACCGCAGTGGAAAAAAATGCGAGTCGATCACGATGTTTCAGTAAACAGCTTACATTAGAAATAACATGTACAGAGAAAAGCGCTTCGTAATCGTTACAGACCATTTGCGATGCTCAGCTGGTTTTGCCTAAATGGGCTCTTTGCAGTAAAATATATCGGAACGAAACACATTTGAAGACATGTTCTGGATTTTGGCAAATCTGGAAGCCACGAAAATTAAACGACAATGGAAACGGACGCAGCTGTAGGAGGGAAATCAAGTGTATGCATGGAGTTCAGTCGGATTGGTGCTTGACTGTTGGATCTGCAGATAACTAATTCTCATGATCAAGTGAAAACCCGAGCAAAATTCATCCAATTCTCAGAGTTCGTCTCCAAACACATGCAGCGGATATCAAGAAACCCCATTACCGAAAGCACTGAAGTATTCCTCCCGTCTGGTGGAAGAACCGAGTGAGTAATAGGAGAGTTCCCCATGTGGAACTCATCGGGGTGGAGTACCTGTTGAAAACAAACCAGTCCTCCTTCGGTTCAGTTATGTGTTTCGCATGCTTGCCAACCGACAGCCTCGGCAGGCATTGGTTGGCATTCAACGCTGCGCTTAGTTGAAGGAAAGCCCGAAATGGCCAGTCAGTGTGGTGACATGACAGCTGAATGCGAAGAAACCGACCGAAAGATCAAGCCGCGCTGGTGGTTATCGATTACATGTATGAGGTCTTTCGGATCGGACACGCCAGTGGTTACACACACGGTATATGTTCATTGCTTCCGTCATTTCTTGTCCTTATCTATTCCATTGGATGTTAATTTTCAATTGATCCTCTTGAATTAATATTGTTATTCGAATCACTAATATTAATGTGGCAAGCAATGTCATTTCGACTGATTCCATGGCATCTTGCTGCATAGGGTATAGATGATAGACTAAAGGAATCTCGCAGGATTAAACTTACTTGAATTTCTGTCATCTCACATGCATAATCTTGAACAATTTTCGGTGGCAGATCATCTACAACGTCCTCTTTTAGTCGTCTCAGCATGAAAGGTAATACCAAACGATGCAGATTTTCCAGAGCCAAATGACCTGAGAATAAGAAGTAGGCAGTGTGGTAGATGCTATCGGTGGAATGCACTGACATATCGTGTACCTTATTCTACGATACAATGACATGGTGGAATAGGCAGAGAGCCAGTCGAAGAAAAAGAACGCAGTGGAGACAGCAAAAGTTCACATACGTACATGCAATATAAAATACCTGCGAGTACATCGCATTATGTAATACCAGGCTGTTCTCAGTAAGAAAACATCTAAAGATAGAAAATATCATGTCAAGCGCAGAATGGAAAGCCGCCTGGATTTACAAGCCGACGAGGCCATGGAAACTGTGAATATCACCGCAAACTCTGGGCAAGGCTGATTAATCGGGACAATCAAATTCATTAACCCTAAGACCGCAGTGGTTACCAGATACATGACACGAATCAGCATGCACATAGTGAGAAAGCAATGGTACAAATTAAAAAGATGCCTGAACCTCCCTCTAGATGAGCAACTTGATGCTTAACTAAGTAATGATAATTCGATCGAGCTGAGTGCATTCATTCAGTGTTCCTCCAGGGAGGGCATCAGCAGGACACCCGTACGCAGTACTGATGCTATGCTGCCGCACAACCACCACCGGCCGCACGTGGGCTAAGGATGCTGGGAGGGTCATCCGGTCCTACGCAGACTTGAACCGGTGCCCTTGGATTACAAGGAGGGCTTCAGATCTTTAAGGCAGGGAAGTTGGTAATAGGACGCGGCACATCTCACGAGCTCGTAGAAAATGGCATTAGTAGCTGGCTTGATTCTGTGCGTACAGCCCGTCGGGTCCCAAAGCTTTAGGGCTGGAAATTACAGTATGTGCCATTGGACACAGTACCGAGATTCAGCAAGTAAAAGCTGTGATGAGTTACGTGAAACTACTTACATCTAGCCAGTAGGCAGTGTAAAAAACGTTATAATGCGACATCTTCAGAATTAGGTAGTTATACAAGGCACGGATACAAACGGAACACAAGATAAGGATGGATTGCTGTCGCTGAGGAACGTTTGCAGCAACTGCAACGTTGCACAAAGTTCAGTTCAGTTGAGCAATTATGATCCGCACCGAAGTGCGGTGGATTCAGTTGCCACCACCCACATCGCAAGAATAACAGTAAATAAAAACGACAAGATAGTTGGGTCGAATGCAAATAAAGTAGACAAAATGGAACAAAAGTGTTAAACTAAGCACAAGAGAACGAAAATTAACAAACGGACGAGAGAAGCCGAATGTACGAACGCCACTGACTGCGCCATGTCTGATATGGTCTCCAACCATTGGTGTGGACTATCCCGAGGCCCCCCATCAACGAAGACGGCACGCACTAGCCTGACCAAGTCTCTCAGTCAATTTCTTCGTGTCTCTATGCCACGTCAGGGACTGGCCACCTCGTGGTTTCGCCCAAGTTGGTGCAGCCACGGCGTATAAGGCACACCAAGGAAGCCGATCAACGGGCATACGGAGGACAGCGCCTAGCCGACACAAACGACTAAGATTTATCAGGCACTCGAGAGAGATACGAGGAGGCTTTTTGCCAAAAACCGACTGTCGGACCTCAACCTTGCTCACCCGGTGTTCCCACCAAACGTGAGCAACACTCCGCAAGCATCGGTGGTCAAACAGGGCCAAACGTTTGATGTCTTCGCTGCAAACTACCCAAGTCTTTGATCCATACAGTAAGATCAGCCTTACTGCATCGCTATACACACTACCTTTCATTGACAGACTTATATCCCGCCGTCTCCGTAGCTAGTTGTCTCTGCAAAGCCACACTGGCCTTACTGATACTCGAAATAACTTAGTGATGTGGCCATCAGAGGTGACCCAGCTACCAGGTTAGGTGAACCGATCCACCACTTCCAGTAGCTGCTCGGAAATATCTAAAACCGGAGGTATGTCGGCAATAATTCGCACTTTGAAGATGCAAAGCACATGCTGATGTGTGCGGCGCTACGCGTCAGTCTATCCAGTGGTGTACGTATAGCTACCGGATCAGACCTAAGGAGAAGTATGTTGTCCGCATACTCCAGGTCGGTCAAATGCCACAGCTTCACTCTGGTAGAGTCTGAAAGAACCGAGTCATTCATGATCATTTCGATCATTAACTAATACTGGTACTGATTAGAAGCAGCGAGTAGAGCATACTCTGTGTAGCTGCATCAACTGTCGCTCTTGGACATTAACGTATTAATTATCGTTCCGCTCTCAATATTTTGCCTCTGCAAAGTGTTTGTTTAGAAGCTTCTTAAATTCGGCCACTGAATTCGCCTCTATTACCGGCTGCGGCAGGTTGTTCCATATATTCACCACTCTACGTTGAAAACAGAGTTGGTGAGCTACCCGCTTCAACTGCGGTACGATAAGCTTGTACCGGTGTCCTCGCGTGCTGCTTCGTGTGCGCAGATGAAGCAGTTGTCTCAACATGGGGTAATCACTCAGATGTAATATCCGGTGCGTCATGATTAGGTCAACCCTCAGCCGACGAGATGCTAGGGTGTAAAGCCCTAGTTTCTTACATCGGTCTTCATATGGCATACCTCGTAAGTTGGAAATCAGCCTAGTGGCTACAAGCTGCACCCGCTCAAGCTTTTCTACCTCGCCCAGCGTGATGGGACAATATGCGGGAGAGTCGTACTCTAGCATTGGTCGTATTATCGAGACGAAGAGGCGAGTGGCAATCTCTTCGGACCAAGTGCTGAAGCTGCGCCTGAGCGCCCAAAGCATCCGAAGGCTGTTTTGGTACAGCCTATTTGTGTTGTCAATGGACTTTAGGTCGCAGCGTGAGAGCACACCGAGGTCGCGCAAGAAAGACGCGGGATGCAGCGGTTGATCAGCCACTGTGTACGTTCAGCTGTGCTTGCATTTACCCAAACTCATGAATTGCGACTTAGCAGGATTGATCGGAAGGTTAACCTCTGCAGACCATGTTGAGAGGCTGTCGAGATCCTGCTGAAGTAAATCACAATCATTGAGTGTGCGGATTACTCTCCACACCTTCAAGTCATCTGCGAACAAGGCACAAGGTGATTGGAGTAGCTTAGGCACATCGTTTACATGGATCGGAAACAATATCGGCCCGAGTACAGTGCCTTGGGGCACGCCGCTTGAAGAGGAAAGGAGATATGGGGAACCCCACTTGTTGTGGGGAACTCAGGAGACAGACTCCTTTACATGTCTTCGTGAATCACGGTAGAGGGAATTCAGAATGGAAAGGAGTTCAGCCATCACACCCTTCATGGATATGCAGTGCCAGAAGCTGCTCGATCAACAGTGTCGAAGGCAGCTTTCAGGTTAAGAAAAACCACCATAGTCGGTCATCTGTATGTCTCTGTTTCAACACTTATCGAAAAGTGAATATATAGTGGATGCAACCAGGACCAGAGCGGGAGCCAGTCCGGCTCTCGGTGATTCGAGTTTCGCGAGGACTAGCAATTTTGCGGAAAAATAATGATCGTGAAACGTTTGGGGGGCAATCGAAAGAAGCCTAATTTCTTAGTCATTTTCGCACAAAGTCCGCTGACCATTTTTGAAGAATCTCACTGCAAAATATTCTATGGGCAGTGATTTACCACAGTTAGTCCTAACCAGACATCATCTCACACATCTGGAGAAGTGCTACACGACGATTTCGTTCTAATGGCATATGTTACAAGCGAGCATCTGCCGGTCACTGACGTCTGGACGCCATGGATTCAGTTCCTTGTTGGGCCGGGGGTGTGCGCTACTGACGAGTCCCAAGAGGGCGAGACGGTTGTCTAGTGCTCTCCGGATTTGTTGTAGCATGTTTGGCTGGGTGCTGATAGTGACGATTCGTCCATAAATCACATAATAGATCTCCAATTGTAAGATTGCATTCAGACAAACGAAGCTATATATGCACGAGAAAGGGATGTGAATCACTCAGCTGCCTCCAGCTCTGAGAACACCTACCAAGACACCATTCATAGCAAGGCTTCTGATTCCATAGCATAACCGATATTCCCTAAGCCGATGAAAGTGACTGCGTAGTCCACGGTGTGTAAGTGAACACGCTACGCGATTGCTTTGCAGTATATGATCGCAAAGTGAATAGAACAAGAATGAGATTGAAGGATGGTGGATGTAGAAGTATGGAGAAGCCGGACTCGGAATGTTGTCCATGTGCCAACGCTGTCTTAGGACGGTAGTCCAGTGTTGATGCTCGATCGAGCCGAGCGATCGAGGAAGTCAGTGCCCCACATCATGACGTCGAAACGAAATCCACGCCGTACGCAATCAAACATCTCACAGAATCAAAACCAAACCAATAACATAAATTTAGTACATGGATGGTGAGGTGATAGCAAACCAAATTTAGAAGTTACTGGACAATCTGGCCATCAACTAGGTCTAGAATGACAACAAAACCGTTAGCCGCGAGTATGATAGATTGCAAGACAGAGATCGAATGAGAAGAAAGCTTAGTTTATCTGTGTGTCGCGGTTTTGCTGATAATACCTTGAGAAAGAGAATTCCATACGAATAGTCAAAGCCCGAAACGGTATTCGCAAATCAAGCATCGGTGGCGTTGTCGGGACGTATCAGTTTAAGTAAAAGACCCGGTTAAAACATCTGTATTCGCATAGTGCTGTTGTATGATATTGAGTCCCAGCTGATCCGTGTGTGCGTCGGAGTTCGGCTTTTAACGGTGGTTGTTCGCGGCTCGTATAGAGGCACAATGTTTGCAAAGATGAGGTGATGTCGGCATTCCTCGCAATGGGTTTGTATCAGTAAGCTAATCAAGATAGCGTAGTCAAATTCTGCGAATACGATGTGCTTTACTCTCTCGCACAGGACTACACAGAGAAACCGAACAATAGTCATCTCATTACATAAAGACAAAACGTTAGTGCGCCCACCTCCAGATTGGATGAATCGGTCCGTATGTTATTCGGGTAGGGAATGAAAACATAAAAGACGCCGTTGATTTGGAACACTTAAAGAAATGGCACAAATTCGAGCTCAGTAGAACTGTAGAAACTTTATACCCATTTTACTGTGTAACAGCACAGTAAATAAACATACGAGAGAAGACAAAACGATGTGCGAGAAACATAGGGATAGCTTTGCATTTTTGTCCGTCCGTTTTCCGTGATCACTGTAGTTCCTAGGTTTGTGACATTGTTATTGATAGCTCTATGTCTATCCAATATATATATATATATATATATATATATATATATATATATGCACCAAGCAGAGGTGCGCAAAGCAGTAAGCTGTTAAGTCCAAATGAGCCCATGCCAGCCGGGCACATTTAAAAAAGACACATAGTCGAGGGCTGTCGAGGTAGTGTAATCGACATCACGTGTCTGCTATTAAGCGTGCGGGTAAGATACAACATCGCATATGAAATCACAGTAAGGGAATAGCCAGTATTCTCGAGCAGATATTCGAAGTATGACGGTCTCGCGTCGCTAAGATTGATAATTGTTGAGAACAATGGGGATGAGTAGTGGAGACGCAAGTATGTAAGTATTCTAACGAAAAATAATTGAAAAGCTCATGGTCGTCGGATTAAAGTTTCAGAGAGTAGAGCAAAACAGCCCGAGAGTCATTGACTTCCGACCGTGGCATTTCGAAGGCCAATCACTTATTTGACCAGTAATAGAGTGGCTGATCTTTTCAAATGAATAAAAGAATATCCAAGTTGCATCAGGGAAAGCAGTGAACGCTTTTAATAACCCACAATTACGGATCGAATGCAGTTTATAAGTTCACAGCAAGTGACTAACCGGCGTGTTGTTCGGCTTTGGACGCTCGCGGATCCCGACTGGCGGCGACAGGGCGACCAAACTTTGCCGCAAAGTTGGCTTCACTGCCGAGGAAATCTGGCATTAGGAAGTCGAATAGAGACCAAAGTTCGCATACGCGATTTTGAATGGGAGTGCCGGTGAGAATCAATCGATGCATCGCACGTAGCTGCTTCAAGGCACGAGCGACCTGTGAAAAAGGAAAGAAAGAGGGTCAGGCGAAGAGCGTTTATCAGATGCAGTAGCTCAGCCAGCCGGGTGAGCAAGATCACATGGAAGGAAGAATCACTACCGAAATCCACAGTGGTAGTAATAGGAAAGCACTACCGACTCATAGTTTGCTTTGCTATCAAGCGACCATGATAGGGAATAGTGAACATAAAGCAGAGCTGACGAAGGGCTATTATCAGTGAGATAACAATCAAAACCAATGTCCCGACACCTTTCGAGCACCACTGTGTCACAAATGGCTTGATATCGTGAAAGGCTAAGGTGGAACCTGCGAGAAATCGTGTCTGCAACCATCACTGACCCCCGTCACGATCAACCCCACGCCACAGAGCAGCTGACGATATTACCCATTGCTGTGATTGCGACCAGCTGTAGAAGGCGTGCGTCTGCAGAAAAGCCACGGGTGCGCTGCGACAATCACAGTCTCATTCGCCCACCCGAGTTTCATCGTAAAGCTGCAGGAATAAAGTTGGAGTGCATGCAGCTAAAAACCGCGATCGAGTCAGAGTAGATTTGCACTTATTTAACATGCCGAAGTAGAAGTTGGGGCAGGAGGAATCCGTAGCTAGTGTGCAGAAACAAGTGAGTGGGTCTTAGTCCATCTCACCATTCAGCCACTCATTGAGTCAAACATTGTTATGGGGACAGTGCGTTCCCTCGCCCACTAACGTTTCGTAGCCTTCAGCTAATAATCAACTGTGCAGCAGTGGACGCCAATATCCAAGTTGAACGAAGTCCCACTGGTGAGAATAGGCGTTGAAAACGCGACAAAACAGGCTCAATAGTACAAGTACATTGCAACTGCTTCATAATCTGTGACACAAACCGCATAGCTCAACAGATAACCGAAACAAGCTGCACACAAGCGTTTCAGCTAAAAGACGACATCAAATACACAAATAGCGTCAGTCGTATAAAGCATAAAGAAGATGGTTTGGACCCCAGACTGCAATGTAAGACGAACCGAGTGGTCAGAATTTATATTATGCACTCCAGTAAACGTGTGCCCAAAAGGTCCAAACATCACTTGTTAAAATAAGGTTGTGAGCCGCGAGCGGACGGGCACGGAACGTGTCCGAACCGGCGTAAGTTATTTGGTCCCATGTATCACTCGACATCTGCAACCTTACTAAGTGGGCGCTCGAGGCTAACAGACAGGTGACTAAAGCACAGTGCTGTAGGGAAGCGCAACATACCCTGTGGTGTTGTGTACACCACTTAAAGAACCAAAGGAAATTTCTCGTGGCCCCAAACAGGATGTTCTGGTTTTGTAATGGGTGGAACAAGTTTAACAGACGCTACTAAGGTTTATATCAATAGAATAGAAATGATAAGGGGTTTGTAGTTCATTGTCGTCAAAGTTAGGAGGTGCAGCAAACAAGAGATCTTTACACTATGGAGTTTCGGAGCGCATACTAGAGGATTGTGTGTCACAATAACCAAAGCTTGCAGTGAAGCAACCTGTTGGGGTCCATTGTTGGCAAGTCAGTGCCCATAATGTGCGCAAAATCAGCGCTGCCTAGTAACAGTTGACCTTCGACACACTATTACACATTAGTAAACATGCGCCGAGAATTGAGTCCAAAGGACCCACATAATCGATTTCTAGACGAAATACCTGCACATGCGTCTTTTGCAACTGGATCTATAGCTGATAAATACATCACGTAGTAGTGCAAGGTTTGTGGCAGAAGACGTCTCTAGTTGACTCCGGACGCGACAGTCGGTCGCAGCGTAACAATCAACTATGAACAAGCGGTACCTAACACTGCTACATGTGTCCCTTTGGTTGATAAGGTCTAAACAATTTGCATAAGGATGATAATTCATCAAAACTCAATCACCCAGCGAGATCACATGTCTTGAACTAAGGCCATTTCCAAGTTAAACCTCATCCGGCGATGTTGCAAGCCATCTGAGGACGTGCTAAATCAATGATGATAGCATGAGCCAGTCGCAGTTACTTCGATGACTATATGATTTTTAATAATACCAATTTTACAAACGCAGCACACACCAGTGAGCATGGAATTGTGACCTACTGACCATCTGTCGTGGGTTACGAAAGTCAAAAAAGCCTGAGAATTAGAGCAATGTTACCATTTAGTGAACTGGAGAGAACAGACCGCTGGGCGCAGCAGTGGCAAGAGTGAGGAGGGCAAAACTCCTGCAATGTAGTAATTGGTGCCAAATGCGTCATAGACGACGGAAGTAAGGTTGGTAATTAGTATAGAAGGAAGGTAAGGAAAATGGAAGGAAAATAAGACGAGAAGCGTTCGGAGTAACCTGTCTTAGTTTGCCGGTTCTGTTGTATGCAGCAGATAAGGTATCCCTTTAGAAACTACTCGACGTATGAAGTAGAACAAGTTAAAACTAAATGTCAGACTGGATACTACTGAATCGTCTAACTTAGACAGAACTGTTCGAGTTGGTAACCAAAAACGCTGGTTTGAAAACGGGACGGTACAACAGTAAGAACACATCACAAAGTGGGTCATTTTAACGAAAATACGCGCAGATCTGAAGAAAAAGAGACTGTGGCATTTAACCATGGACTAGTCAACGAGAAAGAGTAATAAAAGGCCAATGGTAGAAGCATAACGAAGGATAGCTAAGAGCAGCGAAGTATGCAGTGCACGGAAGTCCAGTCTCGACGCAGCGAATCGAAGGCACAATGTCGCATATCCAGTGAGATTGATGGGACACTGAGAAAAGCAGTTCACAGAAATTCGTGGTGTGCCTTTTATTCACCTTTGATTTGCTGCTCTTTATGATGTGACCCTCGTCCAGTACAACGTAGTTCCAAAAGATGCTTCTGGAAGAAAGAAACAATGTCGAAATGAGTGGACAGCAGATTACTAGGTTGACACGCGAATAGATGACACAGTACGAGGAGTGAGCACGGTGAAGATGTATAGCGAAAATGTGTTACTGATGAACAGATGATGCCGCATTCAGCCTAGCTTAGTGGTTTGCAATGTAGCTACTTTCCAAAGAAACCAACAGACCGCTTCCCACAGATTCCCCATAAGCAGACTAGCTGAACGGAAGTCGGATCGACTACAGGACGGCGGATCCAAACATTGAAAGGACAATGAAAAGGCCATCGTTCATTAGAGTAAAACCACACATGAAACGAAAGGCGAAACCCCACGGTTGGACTACGGACTAAAGAGAAAGAAGACTAAGGCTTAGCAGAAGAGATTTTACAGACTCAGCCAACAGTTAAAACTAGCTTTACATCTTGGTAGTTATAGCACAGTTCACTAGGAGGTGAAAGATGAATCACAAAGAGAGGGAGTATCAGTGCGATCAAGTGACTTGTGCCCTAGCGAATGAGCACGAACATGTGACCTACGTTGGCGCAACAATGCATAGAGAACAATCTACGTAATAAAGCACTAACGAAGTCATTTCGAATGAAACGACTGCAGCAAAATTGCCCAGCTAAGAGAACAAATCAGGACATGAACAGCCAACCCAAACTGCAGATGTTCCGATGTATAGGAAACGGTTAGTTCGTACTGTTAGAGGATCGATCAAGTTTCCCGACGATTACGCGAGATCGAGATTCATCACATGGGCATAGAGTCATAGTGTCAACGTAGATAAGTCCCAATGGACTCAAATGGTTGTAACCTGGGAAAGATGATAAGAAAATTCAAAAGAATCGTCAGATGTGCATGTTGAAAAAATCAGGCGATGAGATGCGACCAACTGAATGAGATGCGAAATCAGGTACAGGTTACGTATTGGGAGACAGTTAAGAGTGTGGCAATCTTGACGAATATTCATGTCCAAAATATCCATTTAAATCGGTTAATGATGGTGGGAACATCGTGTGAGCAATGAGCGTGTTCCACGCCTTGTTTATAGCGCAGGAAGAAGAGAACTACTCAGCACCATTATTTCAGGCACCAGGCTCCGATGGCTCGGCCACGGGTTGCGCATGCCAGCACACCGACTCCCGCGAGTTGTGTTGTTTGCGCGCCGGGGGTGCGAATGCAAGAAGAGGAGAGAAGGTCAAGCGATGACTTGGTCAAGAAGAATGAAGGCTCTTACTTCGAAGTTGGCCTCTGTTGGAGTCTCTCGGGCTCCTTGGTTGGGGACCAAAGGACGATGAACACGTTTAGTTGGATACACTTGTTGACACGGCTAGGAGCAGACCTCAGTGGCGTTTGTGTTGTGAGTTCCTTTGTCCATCACCATTCGTTTAGCCTTCCCCTCCAATCACGATTTCAATTAATAGGCACAATAGCCGGCTGTTAGCTCTCCGGAACTATGTCCAGCCGTTACAGGTGACTCAGCCGGCGTGCCTCACTTTCATGTTGTTTTTACCTACCTTGCTTTTTATTGCGGCACTGTAGCTGAGGTGTTTTCCACCTGCAGCTAGTGCGTAGAATGAATGAATGAATGGTTGCATAATGCGCAGTTTGTTCTAGTTGACCAGGTATGTAAGTGGAAGGGGGAGAGGTTGAGTAAAGGACTCTGGCCAAAATAAGGAAGGAAAGAGCGCAATTCAGTGGGTGCGTTTATTCGTTCATTCAGTTCACCTCGTGCAGCAGGTAGGCTGAGTCAGAGAAACAAGTGGTTGTCTGTAGCTTTAACTATGGTAAGTCAAGCTACTTAAACTCAAAAACAACGAATCTACGTCTCCAAGTTAATGAGGAGAGGGCGAAATGGCAACAAAAGCAATGAATAACAAAGGCTTACTGGAAGAATTGGACATCGTTTCGCACGGTATCGTATGAGGTGATCACAAGATCATGCTGAAGGACCTGAGCCTGCAAACTGATGGGGGATAGGTATAAGTAGCAATGAGATAACGGGTACCAAGATTGGATCACACTAAAACAAAGCGCGTCTGTAACCGTGGAATAGAAAAATCGCTAAGACATGGTGCAATCGAAGAGAACAGAAACAAACGCAAGGGAATAGATCAGTGGGGAAGGCTGAAGTGGATACCTAGCAAAAGCGAACAGCAAAAGATCAGATGATGGCAGACCCAAAACACCACTAAGCAAAACTATCGTGGGGCGCAAGAGTGAGATAGAATTGTTTGCAAAACGCAACTGCCAGCGTCGTTCTTTGTACAAGGAAAAAGGCATCGGCAGTACGCCGGTACGCAGTATCGAGTCTTTGCTGCCGCGCAGCCACTCCCAGTCGCAAGTGGGCTAAGGATACTGCGAGGATCGCCCGGTCCCTAGGTAGACTCGAACCCGCGCTCTCGAATTACAAGTCTACGGGCCAACAATCTACGTCCTGATCAAATCTCCTCTTTTCGAGTTAACTAACGAGACCGTGACCGAAAGAACAATGCGTCTGTCTTGCAACCCGGAGGTCATGAGTTCTAGACAGTGTAGTGGACCAGGCGACCATCGCAGTATCCTTAGCCCTTGCTGGACTGATGATAGTTGCGTAGTAGTGAAACGTCGGTACGGCGTACCAGCATACTGCGTATTCCTTAAGCCTATGGTCCAACTGGTTATAAACTAATGTGAGTTGAGGTCATTAACATGAAAGCAGGATAAACACTAAAATAATGGTAGTCGGAATGGGATAAAGACCGTTTGTGATCCATTAACAGCAAGAAAAAAGACACTAGTCGGATTGTCATGGAAAGTAAAAACCCCTCTCGAGAGCACAAATTTGCAGTGTAACATAATACAACGCTGAATAACATTAGTGATTGTACCGGAAGGATATTGAATGCCGCTCGCCCAAAAAAACTGCACTACATGACGCGTTTCGATGTTATCTGATCGAATCAGGTAGAGACAGCGAACATATAGCCCGGAACCTTTGGGCTGTTAACCAAAACCCCTACCCCTAAGCCATTGATTAACTTGGTGCGACGCTTGTTACAACGGTCAACGACTAAGTGCAGGCGTCATTTTGAAGCACTGGTCGTGTGAATGTATTGCGACGCGCAATCTCACCGTGGGCCCGATTCACGTTGAAGTGAACGATGGTCAATTCAATCACTGGGAACGTAACTGATGAAGCAGATAAGTATTGATTGCGAATCGCAGTCCCCAATGAGATTGCGCGTCGCAATCCGTTCACACAACCAGTGTTGCAAAGCGACGCCTGCCATCACCAACTACAGTTTACAATGGTTAGTGACCGCAGTATTCGCATCCGAGTACACAATGGAAAAAAGATAAGTATGTAGATCGTCCGAGATGCAAGAGGAATGTTAATAGCGAAAATGAGAAGATTCGCATAGCCATGCATCAAGTTCAAAGGGTTGACATGGATGGGAGCTGCACACCAAAAGTAGATAAGAACACGGAGAGGGATAACGCACAATAAGTTAGGAAGATGAGTTCACTACAGTCGCTTACCCCTGTCGAACAGTAGGTGTTCCAGCATAAACAAGAGTGGACAAATCTTCCGAGCGCACAAACTGTTGCAACTCATGGGACCAGTGGCCACACAGGGTAGATGGGCAGACAACCAAAGAAACGGGAGAATTTGAAGGAATGTTCCGCCCCGGCTTTTCACGGCTAGAGCGAAGCCTATAATGACTGTCAGCTAGAATGCAGATCGTTTGAAGAGTTTTCCCCAAACCAAGATCGTCGCACAAAATACCATTCAATCCGAACCGATTAAGGAAATTGAGCCAGTTGACTCCATCCTACAGAGCAACAAGAGATAAGGGGGGTGAGAAAAGATACGCTGAAGAAGCTGAAAAATAACCCGTAAAAGGGTTTGATTGTCCTGAGCTAAAAACTCGGGTCACACAAGAGTTAAGCCGAACACTTCCATTAGTCGCGATTGCAATAGGAAAATACGCACGTCTATGGTAACGATATGTGAAAAGGCGCCAGAAGAGATGCGGCGTGAACACGAATGCTTTTCCCAGACGTTAAGCTTAGACATGAGCGGAGGCAGGACTACCGTAGCACATGCCGCGTAGTCTCTGTGATAACGAAATGCAAGTTACTGAAGATGTTGTGAGGCAATAAACGGAGTGCGCAAACCAGACCACTGCAAAGCACACAATATAAACGTATTTGCAGGTGCCAGTCGTGTAAGAAGAGTGTGGGTGAGATGGCCGTCCAAAAAACGTAGGAAAGTCGGTAGGTTAAGTTCTTATTTCTGGGCCATTAAATCATCCTGTGTCGAGGGGCTCCGATTATGATGATGATGATGATACACTTTCGGTAGCCTCAGTAACAAGTAATGGTTTAGTCACTCGTTGAGCACGTTTGCGTCCAGTTGTTACATTCCCATGAGCGGTCTTCAACATAGTTTATGTGACACAGAAGAGACAAGTACACCGTTGAGCACCGTAGCCTGTTAGGTTGCAATTAGGCATATAAGGCATAGTGGGAAGCATTCGTCCCAATACATCCAGGAATAGAATATAAGCAAATGGAAATAACATTGCAGGAAGAGGATCGTTGTGACAGAACCCTGTAACGTGGCCGACTACTCCCCGAAACAAATACAATGGACAACGTTGCAAGATGACGCAGTGCAACGTCATCTGCACCGGGAAGCACGGAATGCGTCTATTACCATGTCCAATATGAGCGCGCCCCTGACAGCAGTGGGTTGGTGCAAAACCCTGGTACAATCACTGATTATGAAAATGAACTGCGAAAAAGAAAGTTGGGCGAGTAAAGGCAAAGCAGGCCTACAAAGTCAGGGGTCTCAACATAAAGGTGTAGGTGAAACATCACATAAGAGCAAGCTCATCATACGCGCGAGAGAGGGTTAAAGAAGGAAACAACATCCTCAGATTAGCAAGCACGGCTAAAAGCACGTCCGCTGAAACTCAAAAGAGACAGTAGAACCGGAAAATTGAGTGCAACAATCCACTAGGATAGCGGAAGGCATGGCCAGTGTCCTTGTCTACAATTATATCATTTGCTATCGGTGGATAGAATAAAACTTGGGGCTTTAAATGTGTATCACACACAGGAATCCGCAAAAGGTAAACCGACGCGACGATGGGACATCTCCGTAAAGAGCTAAACAGTCGAACGCTCCAGGATGTTGAGCACACTAGTATCATCTGTTGCTGATGATACTTTGCAGTGAGGTAAATGAGCGCGAGAAAGAAAGAGCGGATCCAAAACATGTGCAGTTGAGGTAGTCAGCTTTACCCTAGTTATGCCATTATGTAGGGCAAATATGCAGTCCAACCACTTCCTAATCAGATATGCTGTTCTGTGGAATCGACTCCCAATCACAAACAGGCCATGTGAGAGTGGGCATTCATTTCGCAATAAGCTAGGAGGCCATCACAATCCGGACAAGACTATGATCTGGTTTTCATGGTGGGGGGGGGGTCGTTTGACAATCTATTTAGTGTTCAGATAACATCTCATGGGTGGAATAGGGGAAGTTCAAGCAAGGTGAGCAACCTTCAGTGTCAACAATATACTCAAAGTGCAACTATGCACTTTAACTTAACCTGAAAGACAAGTATGTGAAAGATACACATAGACAGAAACACAAAGATAAGCCCACAACCGCAGACTGCCATTGCAAGAGCATGGCACTATATATATATATATATATATATATATATATATATATATATATATATATATATATATATATATATATATATATATATATTTATATATAATTTTGGCCAAATATGGGCGCAAAAACTCAATTGATGAATCACATACTTTTTTATTATTGCTATTAGTTTTGTGTTAAGTAGACAAGCAAGCAAACTTAGTCCCAGTGGTACATAGCAATGCCCTACCAACAGAAAAGATAAATTTCAATGTAGTCTGCAGAAATGGAGTGCTTGCCTGTTGATATCCACGCAGGTGTGCTCGTATGGGAACGGACAGCGAATGCGCCTGAATGTGATCCGGATGCAATAAGCCATCGATGAAGTTACGGTTGCTCACGCGAGCACAGCTCAGCACAGGATCCATTTCGGGTGGGTCTGGAGCAGAAACCTAGAAGGGGAGAAAGAAACAAATGTGTGCGAATGCGGCACAGCAGTGTAGTAGGGAAAAATAACAACAGGAAGGAGGAGCACTGAGGGTAGAGAAGAGAATGAAGCAGACTGTTGATACCTCGTCGAAAAAAGCTTAGACCCTAAAGCGGTGCAGTCCACGTACTTTTGTGTGGAAATGAAGGATATTGAATGGGGCTGTCCCAGCGTGTTGAAGGATACTTATGTCCACGGAACACTGTTGAAGATCATTGGTCGCATTTTCGCCAGATGTTACTATCAGCAGGCACTTCTTCACGTGGTAAATCAAATCGCCAACCTTGACACTGGGTCTCCACGTAGTCTCTAGAACTACTGGATACTTCCTGGCGTGTTCCGGCTGGAAGCGAACACAATAAAACTCGAAATATCACAGGGTAAAACTGTATACTAGCCTGAAGAGAGATCGCGAAGCTTGGTGCCCTTGCCGTGCACCGAAAATGGAGAGATCTGTTGCCTTGGTAACTATCGGAAGTTATCTGGTATAATGCGGGAAAAGGGAGGCAGGAGACCTGGTGTTAGCAAAACTATATGAGACGAGAGTAGGCAGCCAATCCACAGCTCGTCAAAGCGCTTAAAGCGTTTGACCGAAGACTTTGAGAAGCAGTTTAATCAACCTGAGTTACAATCTTATTTAATGGTCATTAACCGCCATACTACCTAAGCAGTCACCACAGACTCGCCCTCTTGCGCTCAGAAGTCGAACGCGAGATTGGACTGATGGAATTGAATAAGGCCGCAGGAGCAGATAGACTCCAATTTTTTAGAGAGCCAGCTCTCGTGCATTGTTTGCACAAGCTCTTAGTGAAGCAGGAGAGCAGGAGACTGTCCCAGCAGACTGAAAAGAAAGAAGGGAAGGCATCAGCAGTGTGTCGTTACGGAGTACCGATGCTTTGCCGCCATGCAATCACCACCAGTTGCACGTGGGCTAAGGATACTGCGAGGGTTGTCGTCCCTACGCAGACTCGAACCCACGCCGTTAGAGTACACAGCAATCTTGTTACCTTTAGGCTACGAGACGGCAAACACACAAATGTAAAAGAAAATGGTTCATTCTCCATAGCAGGAGACACCCCAATACAGACATCATCGAATGACATGTGGAGCAGGAATTCAAAAGGCGATTGTAAGAAAAAATGCGACGGTTACTGGGTAGGATCCAGCCTGGTTTGATCGATGAGTCGTGGTAGGTTGTCAGGAGTTAGAGGGTTACTGTGTAAAGTTGATAAGACTAGGTTAGAATGTGAATCAAGGAGTGTGGAAATGTGTTGTTCAGCCAAACAATGCTAGTAGACCAAATATGGTGCACCGACATCAGGTGGGCTTTGTGGAGCCGATGGCATTTGATCGGAGGAGAGAAAGGTAATGACAACAGTTAAAATAGGCATCCGCATCATGTTGGCACATCGTACCGACGTTTCGCTGTCACAGGACCACCGCCAGTCGCGCGTGGGCTGGGCATACCGCTAGGTGGCCTGTACCGACGCAGAATCGAACCGGTGACTTTCGGATTACAACACAGACACCTTGTGCAATCGGTCATCGGCAGACGACAGAAGTGGCGGAGATATAGATCAGGAGACGAATACAATTGTAGAAATGACTCATGACATTTCTCACGAAGTAAGATGTGCCCTATATGCCGATAAAATCGGACACATTACCAGCAATTCGATCACAGATCACAGGTAACACACAATCTGTAGCATTCGGGTCTTCTCGTCCTCTATGTTAGATGATGGAGCTATAACACAAGTGCTTATCTAGGAGATAAGATCATTGGCGAAATTCGCGTGACCTTTTGTAAAGAGTACGAAACTCATAAAAAAGCAAGGCGATTGAACAATCCGCTGATGTATTGCAAGAGCGAACAGAAAGTCGAACAGGTTTGACAAGAGCAAAGGATTGTGAAAAACTAGTGCACAGCTGGTGATATGGAGTATATGAAAGCGGGCAGGCGCAGTGAGTGTAGAATTTCGGAGTACCGAAGGTCTGCGCGAGTAACTCTGCGACGAGGAAAATGCCGGCCACGAGGGCATTCAGCAAAAGCATGCGCAACAGGCTAGTGTAAACGACAATCAATTAACAAGGAGAACGTACTTCAAAAGGAAAGAGACTGAGCAGAATTGCAAACAAACGCCCAGCTGATGAGCGAATTTGGACATCTGAATCAGCCAAAAGACGCAGCACTGGTGGGACGAACAAAGCCAAGTAGGGAAGAAAACACCGCAGAGATTCTGGAAGTTCATTTAGGCCGTTTGCGTTGTCATCTGCGTCTCCAAGTAGGGGCGAAGGTTTGGTCTGTGCTTCAGGGTCACTCAGTGGGTCGATGGTGGTACTGGTCCAGTAGGAAGTAACCGTTGGTCCGGATGAAAGGCTCTCGAGTAAGACTATAAAAGTGAACGGCAAAGTGATGTATTTGGGTGGTCAAAAGCTGTCATCCAGATACATCAACGGGAGAAAGCAAAAAAACACCAAACAATGCTCACCAGACACAGTCTCCAGTGCTCCGTGCGTGCAAGTACAAAGGCGTGACCCAACCGGATTTAACTCAGGTTCCAGATGGGAGAGCACCAGTGGGACCAGAAGATTGGGCAATACGACTGGGCAATGGAAGGAGAGGCTGGTAAGAAGTCTGGAACCCAGAATGCGTAACCTGGGTTGTGATAATAACGAGGCGATTGTGCCAACATAGACCATCTGGTCGATAGAGATGAGAGCTCCGGAATCCGTAACAAAGGGTAGCAATGCCGGAACACAGGAAATCAACGCCAGGAAGCTGGAACAAAGTGCGTCTTCATCCGCTTTGGACAAACGTTTCTGTAAGAGTTCCAGAACGTTACCTGGGAGCAGACGGCAAGTGCATAACCGGTAAACTTGACAAAAAATCGTCCCCAACATAAATTACAACCAAAAGCTAATCAAGTAATCGGCGCGCCCTAGTCAAAGGTGATATAAGTGCTAGATAGGATCACAAAAGATCGACGCAATATGACAACAGAACCTCCGCAATGAAGAGAAGCAAAACTCTTTGTCGTTCCAATATACTGTGAAGACGTCTTAATCGTCAAGAGGAATGGGAGAGTGATTATGTTTTGCGGTGACAAAGAAAACCCGCGCTTCTTGTTGGAAGCGTTGTGTCGGCTACTTCCTCTTGTCCAATTCAACAAGGTAAATAGTTGATAATAATCGTCGATGAGTTAAACCGTTGAGGTATCGTAGACTGCGTGGTAGTAACCCCAAAGACCACCAACCCACTTGGTGTTGCTCCGAGGAAAGCCAAATGCCGGAAATGATTTAGGTCCGGCAAAAGAGCACATTTGCCTACGAAAAACAAGATGGACGTTAAAGTGTCTAGGCCACTAGAACTGACAAACACACTAGTATCCCATCAACAATCACCCGAATTCTGGGGGACGGGAAACGGGAGATGTAAATGTTGTCAATGATAAAGAGCTGTCTGACTAATTCGTCAGAGCAATGCAGCAAATGTGAGATGGCGATTCGCTAAACCCATACAGGTTGGCGGCATTCCGTTCCAGACTTGCTTGTCACTGCGGCCTCCATAGGATAGCCACATGACGCTCTCTGGAAGCAAGAGAAAAAAGGCCGCGATGGACATTAAATGATGTGGAGAAAGAGCATACAAAAGACAAGCTCAAGCTTAGCATCCGTCAGACCAGTCCGCCTTTCAGGATAAGGAGCATTCCAATCGCACCCCAGTGGTTGGCAACGTTGGATGTTATGGTGTGCAACAGAAATCAGTGTTCAGTCGCATCATTTGTTAGTACATGTCGAATCGAACATAAAAACTCAAAAAAGACTCAAAATTGCGTGTGTAAAACCTAAAGGAGTTCTGTTTCCCTCTTTTTGTCATGATTCTGATAGCACATTGCTTGTAATCGGATTATATATATATATATATATATATATATATATATATATATATATATATATATGTAAAACCGAGGTTGTGGTTTCTCGACAGCTAGGCACCTTGACAACATTCACATCAAGCTCAGCTGCACCGGGAATATCAAGCCACAAGCAACACCTGAAAAGTCGACACACAGGCATATATGCTGACCAACTATAAGCACGATGCAGTACAAGTACCGCACCAACCGTCTTACTGACCTCAGTTAGTAGATCGAATAGACGCGGACGCATCGTACTTAGGTAGGCTGCACTGATGCTGGCCTCACGTGGCCACGCTGCTGGCTTACCAAGCCCGCTTGGCTCAGGCACTAGCGACCGCATGTGCCACAGCACAATGCGCTCGGCATCAATGGGCTATCCATCATCGGCGCCTGACGCGTCCGCACATGGCGCTTCTCTTCCGCGTGCCTTCTACAACACCTGGGCAATCGCCAAACGATATGCTCTCGACATCGGTAACGATCCATTGTCATCGCTTCCCAACACCTGAAAATAAGATTAATTCGTGAACAACTCACCTTGGTCATGTTCAGGTAAAGTAAGTTCAGTTTTCTCACGTGCCGCATCCCTGCACTAAGTTGTCCCTATAAGAGCTGCTTGGGCATCCGGGTTGAATCTGTGTGGCTGATAGACCCGGTCCACTTCAGGTGCCTCAACAGAAGCACCCAGTTCATTGCGTACATGCCTCTGAGGCGCAGCATTTTCGTATCTGCAACTCCGTAGCCCCACTGGTTGCGCAGAATACGTCGCAGATACAGTTGATGAAATTCTGCCAGATATCTGAAGTCCTTCCAGTGCCACGTAAACGTTTCGCTGCCGTAAAGATGAACGGACGGCGCCCGAATTGTATTTTAGCAGCTCTGTACCAATGGTAAATTGATGGTTGTTCCATACACGTTTATTAAGTTTGCCAAACGCAGCAGCCGTTTTCGATACGCGGATGCGCAGCTCGCTCATAAACTAGAGATCGGTAGACATCATGCTGCCTAGATGGCAAAATCTTGGTGCCAATGTGTATTTGCGGCAAGCCCACGGATTCCACTTCTGCAGAAAGCTGAGAAAGGCAGGCAGTCTTGATTGTGCTGATGGTGGGTCCGAATTCGACTACCGTCGAAGCCATAACACTGGTCATGTGCTGCAACTCATCCGCATTGGGTGCAAACAACGCACAGTCGTCCGCAAACAGCGACACATGAATAGTTTTCTCACATAAGAGGATTCTCACTCCAAAACGACGGAAGTTCAGCAACCCACCATCAATACGATGCTTCACCGTAATCATAAGCAGAGTCAAAAGCACAAGACGTTGTTGCATTTAGGTAAGAAGTAAACGATGCAGGGGCTGACACAGCTTTGCTTCACATCAGAGACAATAGTAAAATTATCCGAGGTTTGTCCACAAAGCTGCATCCTCACCCGCACACCACTGTGCAGACATCCAATTGAACTTATACCCATCAACGGAGCAGGCTCACACTCTTTCAACAAGCAGTACAGAAGCATTCATGCCTTTGGGGAAATCATGCGTACCAGACGTACACAAGGCGGTGACTGGAACGTAGTCAGCTCCACACTGGATGGAGCCACGCTTTGAGGCTAGCGTCGTCACGTGGACCATGCATCCCGATCCCCCCACCGCAACGATTCATCATCATCATCATTATGCACGTCAGCTAGAGGTGGAAAACACCTCAGCTACTGTGCCGCAATACCTAAATGAAAAAGGAAAATAAATACAAAAGTTGCATGTCAGCTGAGCTACCAGCAACGGATAGGCATCGTTCCGGTAAGCTACCAGCCGGCTACTAGGCAAAAAGAAAAAATATTGTGTTTTACGCTAAGAAATGAGATCGTAGGTGGATGGGGAGGCTAAAAGGGATGGGGTGGGACAAAAACCCACAGCAGGAACGCCACTGACGCCGGCTTTTTGCCATGTCAACAAGTGCATCCAGCCAAACGTGTTCACCGTCTTTCGCATCCCAACCAGGGAGCCGTGACGCTCCAACCAAGGCCAGCTCCATAGTGAGGGCCTTCATCCCACTGGACCAAGTCATCGCTTGGCCACCCCTCCTTTTTTCCATCCACATCCCCGGTGAGCAAACAACACACGTCGTGGAAGTCGGTGGCCTGGCATGCGAAACAAGTGGCCAAGCCATCGGAGCCTGGTGCGTGAAATGACGGTGCTGAGCAGTTCAGTTCCTTTTCCTGTGCCGTAAACAAGGCGTCGAACACGCTCGTTACTCACGCGGTGTTCCCACCAGATGTGAGTCAAACTGCGAAGGCACCGATGGTCGAACGTAACTAGCCTCTTCATGTCCGCCGATCTTAGAGGCCAGGTTTCGCAACCGTACAGTAAGGTCGAACGTATTGCTGCATTGTACACTACCCTTCAGTGCGAGAGTAATGTCGCGCCGCCGCCATAGGTGGCGAAGGTTAGCAAAACCACTTCAAGCTTTTGCTATACGGTTTGTGATCTCGTCTTCGATCCCAAGGGCGCTGATACAACTTCCCAGGTAGTTGAATTTCCGAACGACTTCTAGCTGATCCCCACCAAGGGTCAGCGCAGGAGGCGATCCCTGCCAATCTTGGAGGAACGCTTTGCATTCGATGGTGCAAAGCAAAGCCCGAAGCGGCTGACAGCCAGTGCTAATCTGTCCAGCGCGGCTTGGCACGTCTGGGAGCTGTCACAGATGAGGGCAATGTCGTCTGCATACTCCAAGTCAAGAAGTCGTTCTCCTGGGAGTAGATCCACACCTTCCAAGTCATGTCCTGTAAATGCAATCTCCATGACTTCGTCAATAGCGAAGTTGAAAAGGAAAGGTGACAGCGGGCATCCTTGTCTCACACCGCTGGAGATACTGAAGGGTGGCGACAGCTTGCCGTAAGCCCTCACTCTGCCCGTGCTACGCGCGTATAATGCTTGGATAATATTTACATATTTCTCGGGCACACCTTTCCTGAGTAGACAATTCCAAAGGGCACATCGATCAACCGAATCGAAGGCATCTTTGATGTCGAGGAACACGACTACGGTGGGCCGCCAATATGTGTGACGGTGCTCCAACAACTGACGCAAGGTGAAGATGTGGTCGATGCAGCCACGACCCCGACGAAACCCGGCTTGCTCCTCACGAATCTGGCTTTCACGAGCGCCAGTCAGTCTGTGAAGGATTATAGAGGCGAGTAATTTGGAGGCGATGGAGATCAGACTGATTCCTCTATGGCTGCCGCATTCCGAACGCGAGCCTCCTTTGAAGATGGGAACAATAACGGAGCGGCTCCAGTCGGTTGGGACAGCTCCTGCTCCCACAGTTTCACTAGTAATTCATGTAAAGCATCAACAAGAGCAGAGCCTCCGAATTTGAAGAGGGCTGGAGGAAGATCATCTGGTCCCGCGGCTTTGTTCAACTTCAACAGTCCGATCTCACGTTCGACTTCTGAGCGAGAGGGTGGATCCAAAGGGACAGCCCACGGAGCGGGGCGATCACTGACCGGCGAAGAATCGAACAATTCTAGCCGATTAAATTGCCTTTCAAAATGCTCAGCCCAACGCTCCAAGCGTTTTGACAAATTGTGGATAGGCTGTCCACTCTCGTCACGTATAGTTTCACTAACACCAGGTCTCCTGTTGCCCGTTTCCCGTATCAGACGGAATAAGTTACGATGGTTACCAAGGGCAGCGGCCATTTCCATCTCTGACGCACGGTGAGACCACCAAGATTCGCGGTCTCTCTTCAGGCTAGCACGAAGTCTTGCCCGGAGCTCTTTGCGAGTTTCATTGTGTTCGCTTCCAGCCGGAAAATGCCGGCGAGCATCGATAAGTTCTAGAGACTGCGAAGAGACCCAATAACCATGTTGGCTATTAGACATACCACATGAGGATTTGCCTGCTGCTAGTAACGTC